ATAATATAATATAATATAATATAATATAATATAATATAATATAATATAATATAATATAATATAAGGTTAGCATATAACATGATATCTTATAGCCTATACTAATAATATATACTATGACATTATATCTTATTGAATTATAAAATTACTATAATATATTACTTTGTATTATATATCATTACATTATATTATAGCAGTATAATATAATATAATAATATATTATATTTATAATATTGTATCTTTTTATATTTTACTTCTTACAATGAATTATATTAAATTATATTCAAGACAGCCGATCGCCTTTGCTATTCCTCTTTGTGCGTTTTGTTTGAATGTAGATTTGCTACTGCCTCCACACAGATATAGACAGCCAGACCCATGAGTAGCTAGATGGCTAGCTAGCTAGCTATCTATCTAGCTATCTATCTATCTATTTATATTGCTGCCTATCTAGCTGGTTGTCTAAGTAGGTAGGTGGGCAATATAGAGACCTAGCTAGCTAGCTAGCTAGCTAGCTAGCTAGCTGTTATCGATTGCGTTGTTATTTTCCAGTTGGTAGGTCGGGTTTTGATTTGACTGAAAGCAAAAGCCCGAGGGTTTAAGGTTTAGCGCTACACCCTAAACCCTAAGGCAAGACAGGTTCAAGGGTTTAGGGTTTAGGGTTTGGATGGGGGCTTTGTTCTTTGTCTTTTTTGTTTGTTGTGTTTGTTAGGAGCGAGACACTCTATATCCACTGCACGCCCCTGATGCATATTCTCTTTGTCTGCGTCAAATAAACCCTCCTCCTGCTGCTGTTGCTGCTGCTGCTGCTGCTGTTGCTGCTGCTGCTGCTGTTGTTGCTGCTGCTGCTGTGCATTCCTCCTCTTCTGTTGTTGCTGTTTCTGTTGCTGGTGGTTTGAATTTTGCTGCTGTAGATCCTCCTCCTCCCGCTGCTGCTGCTGCTCTTGCTGCTGTTGCTCTTGCTGCTGTTGCTCTTGCTGCTGCTGCTCTTGCTGCTGCTGCTCTTGCTGCTGCTGCTGTTTCTTTTTGCTTTTATTGGTTTGGGGTGTCTGTACAGCTTGTGCAAAGATGAAGGCTTGAGCCCAGCCAGCATAATCTTTAAACTTTAATTTATAAAACTGCTGAATTGCGGTGTATAAAGCAGCAGATAAATAACGCTGCTGCAGATGAGACAGCAGCAAAGAAGAAGAAACAGAAGAAGAAGGGGAGCTGCTGCTGCACTCGCTGTTGCTGCTCGTGCTGCTGCATTTGCTGCTGCTGCTGCTGCTTCTGCTGCTTTGGTCTGTATCAATGCGCAAAGACAAAGACAAACAAATAATAAAATTAGAAATAAACAAAGACGTCTATCAGCAAAGACAGAGGCAAATCATCCTTGCTTCTGCTGCAGTTGCTGCTACATTTGCTGCTGCTACATTTGCTACTGCAGCTACAACTGTGGCTAGCTGCTGCTGCATTTGCTGCAGCACGTGCTGCTACATTTGCTGCTGCATGTGCTGCTGTATTTGCAGCTGCCTGTGTTGCTGCCTGTGCTGCTGCTTGTGCTGCTGCTGCTGCCGCTGCTGCTGCTGCTGCACAACATACACTGCTGTTTGAGGTATAAGCGCAGCTCTTTATCTGCTGCTCCGTGCTGCAGCAAATGTCTATCGACAGGCCAGCTGCTTTGATGCCCCAACCCGTACAGCGCTACGCACTCAGCCACCTTCCGCCCCACACCCCTACACCGCAAACCTAAACTCTAAACCCTAGACCTTCTCTTGCATCTTCAGAGACGGTGGCTAAGGAGCCCTTCTCCCTCACCCTAAACCCTAAACCCTAAACCCTAAACCCTAAACCCTAAACCCTAAACCCTAAACCCTCAACCCTAAACCCTAAACCCTAAACCCTAAACCCTAAACCCTAAAACCTAAACCCTAAACCCTAAACCCTAAACCCTAAACCCTAAACCCTAAACCCTAAACCCTAAAAACCCTAAACCCTAAACCCTAAACCCTAAACCCTAAACCCTAAAACCTAAACCCTAAACCCTAAACCCTAAACCCTAAACCCTAAACCCTAAACCCTAAACCCTAAATAAACCCTAAACCCTAAACCCTAAACCCTAAACCCTAAACCCTAAAACCTAAACCCTAAACCCTAAACCCTAAACCCTAAACCCTAAACCCTAAACCCTAAACCCTAAACCACAAACCACAAACCACAAACCCTAAACCACAAACAAGAAACAAGGAACAACAAGCAACAAACAACAAACCCTAAACCCTAAACCACAAACCACAAACCCCAAGTGATCACCCCTAATACTAGGGATCCTTACAGGGCCCCCAGGGGGCCCCCAGGGGCCCCTTCGGTCCTTTTGGGGGGCCCCCCTAGGGTCCTTAAAGGGCACCTGGGGGCCCCCTAGGGCCCCACGGCCATAGAGGAGGCCTCCTAGGGTCTTTAGGGGGGCCCCCCTAGGGTCCTTATTGGGGCCCCCTAGGGTCCTTACGGGGGCCCCCTAGGGTCCTTAGGGGGGCCCCTCGGGAGTAAGACTGACGGAAACTGCATGAGTGTCTGCGTAGCAGCGTGGAGCGCGGCATAGGGGGGCCCCTCTGGTGTTGTGTGGGGCCAAGCGAGCGACTCTAAGAAGTGCAGACCGCCTAACTCATTCAATCGCTGCGCAGTCTCCTTCACAAACTTAGCCCGGTACCCTAAACCTGTACAGCACCAGCAGCAGCAGCAGCAGCAGCAGTAGCAGCAGTAGTAGTAGCAGCAGTAGCAGTAGTAGCAGCAACTTCATAAATACAATTTCTATTATTATTTAAACTAATAATTTTAATTATAGCTCCTTATGACAAGCATCCAAGCAAGTGTTTACTGATTAGGGTTTAGGGTTTAGGGTTTAGGGTTTCGTATTGATGATATATATACCCAGCTGCTTGAGCTCTTCTACTGAAGCCTCAGCAAGGGCCTCCAATGTAGGAAATGAATACCAAGTTAGCAGGGGGCCCCCGGGGGGCCCCCCATCTCGTACGCCTTTAGCAAGGGGGGCCCCCAGGTGTCTCTGCAGCATCCTGACCATAGAACTGATTCTAAGAAGATAAAACAACGCATATATAAATTTTAAACAAATAATATAATAATTTAAGTAAACGGGAGAGAGCATGTTGCTCATTAGTAGCAAGACAAACAAAACAATGTACAAACGTTATAACCGAAAACCCTAAACCCTAAACCCTAAACCCTAAACAGTAAACCCTAAGCCCTAGAAACCCTAAACCCTAAACACCCGCTGTTTCTACTGTAGCCCAAGGACCAGCTGAGCGAGCAGGCCCCTGCTTTAGGCTTTAGGGTTTAGGGTTTAGGGTTTACCTGCTGATATTGTTGTTAGAAGAACAAATAAAACTAAAGAGGCATTCCGCCGGGTGTATTCGCAGCACTCTCGTACCGTCAGTTGCTGTAAACCCCCAGCTGCAAACAAATATAAATAAATATAAATAAATATAAATAAATATAAATAAATATAAATAAATATAAATAAAT